AAATAGATAGATAATATCTTTAAATTAATTTAGATATTTCTAAAATTTCGTTCTATATAATTATAATAACTTTTATAAGCAGTTATAAAATAAGTGTTTTAATGGTAATCATGGTTATAAAACAATAATTTTAATAATAATATTGAATATGCGTAAAAATTCCCATTTAATTTAATTTATTTTATTTTTTTATCAAGAAAAGTTTTAAAATAAAAGTTTTAAAATCTTATAAATAATGTAGGCAATTAAATTATAACAAAATAATTAACATCACTATTTATCTTCAAATAAATAACATCATACAAATTTGAACTTGAAATTTCTTAAAAAACAATTGTTTTTGTTTATACATTTTTTAGATGTTGTGTTTTCAGCATAAATTACTTAATATGAAGAATCGTGTGCAAAATTTTAAAACTTAGATATGAAAAAAAATTTTTAATTTTTCTTACTTTTCAAAAATGATTGGTAAAAAAAAAAATCAAATATTTTTAAAATTTTAACATTATTATTAAAATAATTGATCGGATACCTTGCAGATTTCAATGCAAAATTCCAAGGTAGTATTAACATAGTCACTTTCAGAAATAGACCGTCACAATAATTTTAAGCAATATTTCTTTTAAATTTTTTCCGCCTTATGTACATGGTACTCATGGTAGTCAGTTAAAGTATTTTGACACTTCTAATTTTATCTCTGATTAAATACTTTAATTATACCGACAATGGTAATATTTTCCTGAAATCACCCGCAAAGACAAATGTTACACCTATGTTACCCCTATTTTATCTCATGTTTTAATTTTTTTATAAATGTCTTGTTTATATATTTGGGACTTGTGAGATATCGACGATATCATATATTCCTTTTAAAATCCTCATTTCACCAGGTAAATGAGGCAACATCGTGGTAATATAGCTAGTATATTATAGTGCAGATTATAATAGTCTTTGTCATTTCTAAAATAGTTAGAATCAATTTAAAAAATATTGTCAAATTGTTCCATTAGTTTATGAGCTGATTAGGATCAAACAAAAATACAGAGAATTTTAAATATTATTAAAGATTTAAAAAATAGGCATGCATAATACGATAAAATCCCAAATCTGGGAAAATAAATTTGATACAAATCTGCAGGCACGTTATATTTTCACCGCTTGCAACTGCAGTAGACTATACTGTAAATGATGAGTATATATTGTGACCGCGAGTAGCCAACACTATGTACAAGTGTCACTGTAATTATATATACCAGCGTACATACCAAACTATGCAAAAGAAAATCATTATCAATCATCAGCTACTGTCAGGCACATCTAACGGCGCGGTGGCAGGGTAACTGGCGTAGGTAATCATAATACGTAATTGAGATGCATATTTATTAAAGATGCAAATATTCGGTTACTAATTATTATCAACGCACATTTATTAAGGGGTTACCCATATGCGCCAAAAAAAATTAATTCGTTTTGGGTAAAGCCCATTTGCGCCAAATTTACCTGGGTAAACATTTACGTTAACAAATTGGTTATTTAAAATCGTACAATTGACTATGATTATCAATAGCTTATAATTTTCAAAAAAAATATAAACTTATTAACTATTTATTACCTAACTATTGTTTAAAATAATTTGTATTATTATTTAAAAAAAAAAAATCGTATTATTGATTATTATTTGAGGAAAAAATATATTATTTTATTATAATTATACCAGGTGAGTTTGGCGCAAATGGACGATGTTCATTTATTACGCCACAAAACATAGGTAATAATTAAACTTTTGGTCTCTATACAATAACATTATACCTTGCACCTTTGCACATCAATTAAATAATATAATGTATGATACTACGTAAAAGATTGTAGTTTAAGATTAATTTTACAAAATGTACAATAACAATAACATGTTTTTTATTTGTATACGTTGTATACTATGTTACTATATTAGTATTTAAAATCAATGATAGTACCTACTGATTATAATAATAAATAATATAAAATATCTGTAATAATGTATGAATCAAAATAAATAATAAATACTGTGTATATAATGACTCTAATGTATATGACATTTCTGGCGTAAGTTCAATATTATAAAAAAAAATAAAGATAGAAATATTTGAAATTGTAAATAGTAAGTAAATTTTTTTCTAATTTTAAGTCACTGCCTGAAGTTCGGTGATCATTACTCTCTTCCCCATATGTATAGCATCGTTTATTTAAATAAATAATACATAGTAAAATTACTCCATAGGCGTGCGCAGACTTCTGATTCAGGTATGGCTAAATTCGATTTGACCACCAACTCTCCTCTCCGTCAAGATCTTACAAGAAAAAAATTATGCCTATGGGCAATCAGTTAATATTTTTAATCGAGTAAATATCTATGGTTTTGATTTATTTTGCTATCAATTTTCTTAGGCTATAACGTCTTATTAATTTTTTAGGTACTAAGTATCCATCCACGTAAAAAAAAGGATCAGGTGAGACTAAAGCCCAATCAGTTCTATCCGTGTGCACATCTATGAATTATTCTCAGTGAGTGCTTAGGTACATTGCTTGCATATCATTTTCCGTCATCCTAAATTTCTCAAGTCGGCCAGAGTTCGTTGTTCCTGAGAGTCTCGTTCATTAATCATCCGTGATCTTCATTCTACTTATGGTTTGCCTAGAGATAATATTCGATGGTCTGTGGCAATGTCACAAATACCTTATGACTAGCGAGCATTAAAAAGTATCGAAATATGCAAGAAATATGCAAGACATTTTTTAATAACTAGATTCAAATTATTATAGTTTATGAATATAACTGATAAAAATCCAAAAAAGTGAAAAGAAAAAAAATATACGATTGCCTAGAAACCCACGCTCTACTTATGATTAATAATTTGTTATTGAATTCAAATTTAACAAACTCATTATCTACTACAGTGACCTACTCAATGACTAGTACAATTAAAATTATTAATTGTATGTATTATATAATATTATTTATCTTGTTCATGTCGTTAAAAAATTGTACTATTTAATTAACAATTAGTTTGAATGTTAATATTGTCAGAAGAAATTCAAACATAAAATTATAATAATAATAAAAAAAATTACATATATTATCGAGTAAATCATTTACAAAATTTATATATGTCTGATATTAACCAAAAAGTCAAAGCGTGGTTCATTGGTCACGCAAAAATAGTAGGAATAAGCCTTAACTTTCACTACACTTTAAAAAAGCTCTAGAAGCTAAAAAACAATGTCAATTTCTAATGAAACATGGTATTAACGTTCATAAAAAAAACCTCAATACTTGTAAGTTTAATACATAATCATCTCTTTGAAAGAAAACCTTTCAACACTCACTCATTTTATAGTGGTTTTTACTATTCTGTTACTGTCTTACTAATTATATTATTATTCATATTTATTTAAAAGTTAAAACACTTTTCCTAATCATTTTTAAAATATAAAGAAATTATCTAATAAATCAAGAAAAGTTTAACAATTAGCACCATATTATGAAATGCTGCTATTGAAGTAGCACAAACAGTAAGATTGTATAACGTTCATCGAATTTACTCATGTGCGTTTTAACAAATATTATACTTCAGCAGAGCATAAATATAAAAACTATGCAATTATACACATATAGATACATATATTACATACATTATACATAGAAATACTCATTCATGTACTTAATGTTAATTTACACTTTACAACGGATAATACAATAAATGTAAGGAAGAAGAAAAGAAATAAGATTATTACCCCTACACAAAAGCCAGTAATTAAATATGTGTGAAGCTTTTTCTATTTTTAAAGTATGATGCTATTATTATGTAGGGGCGGACTGGCCAAGGAGGCAAAGGGGCAATTACCTTCCGAGTTCTTGATAGTGTCAATTAATAAAAATTATATACATATTTAAGTATAAAATTTAATATTAAAATATAATAGTAAAACACTATTTATTTACAAATGAATAAAAGTTAATTGTGCACTATTAACTAAAAATATTTATTATTTAAAATTTAATAATAATTAGATACTCAGTCCGCCCCTGTTATTATGATTTTGTTAAGTAAACATTTTTTAATTTATAGATTTACAGTCTATGTTTAAATACGTATTAAATGTAATTAAGATGTATATGTATCACAGCGACCGGTATGTTACAGTTCCATATTATTTTTTTATATTACTTTTTATAGACAATTGGCTATAGCATGTAGTTGATACATAAATCTAACACAATTATTTCCGTAAAAAGGACGTCATACCACCAATTCTGTGGAATTAAAACTTAAACGTTAGAGTAGCGTTTCTTAACCGGGCGTAGTCGCGTAGATAAACTATTTGAAATGATTTGTTATTTGTAAAGATTTATAATTTTATAATTATTGATACTAAAATCGGTTAACATAACATATAAAGTATATAATACTATTATAAATATAATATAACATTATAGTCGGAAAGTACTCTCTAACCTTTGAGAGTATGTAGAACGAAAAAAGGTTAAAAAATGCAGAGTTATAACATCTATTCAAAAAGTAATGATGACTCATTCTATAATGTCCTTAGAACAAAATCATCGATGATATAATTCAAAATAAATATTGTTTCGAAGACATCATCATCACCGTCTTTAAAAATAATACTTAATAAAATTAACAATTAGCGCCGTCTGCCATTACTACAGTAAAATTACGTCTCATGTATACTCGTATAAAATATACACATAATGAAGAAGTACGCAATCCAACAATCTCTGCGACATCAATAAAACACAGAAATAACAAACAATATTTAAAAAAATATTTACAAAGGCATAAAGCGTCCGTCGATTATCAGTGTTACCAGTAGACACCGATGACGACGTCAACGATAATAATAGTAATAAAAAAAATCACATTATTATTAATACATTAATAAAATCGCGTATTAAAGTACAAACACTACAAACAGTACAAACTACCAACTGCCAAGTACATACCAATTGAAATATATCTATTGTCCAGGATCCAGATTTCCACCAATCAAAATTTCCGACTCTCTTGTAGTCTACAAGTAGGCGCGTGAGTTATTTTTTTTAGAAACACTTAGTCAGATTGATGTATTAAATGATTATAAATAATTAGGTATATAGGTGTGAAGTGTTCGATCATGAAGATATAATATACACATACGTATTTACAAAAATTTTCAACTTGGATTACTGTGAAATTGTCAAATCTTCAAGATTCACGCTAAACACTGTGCGATAAGCCTAAAAATTTAATTTTCTATCAATAATTTCTATGTTTTCTTTTTAGTAAATTCACCGCTCGAACAGCAGACGTTTTAGTACTTGACGTACCTGTTCTCAGTAACAGTTTGCACGACGAAAATGTACTCCATTGGTAGCAGTAATACGCACACCGGAACGCCGAAGTTTACCACTCACGCTGCGGGTCATATATTGAAACATGATTCAACGTCCGCTCTTCACCGCCATGATGACACCAACCATCCGTTACTTAACGAATTGAACATCAACATGTGCAATGAAATTAAACGACTTGTAAAAAATACATTTCCCATAGTGAGTACCACGACGATTGAATAATATTAACGTATAGTTCATTAGTACTATAACGCGTTATTATTTATTAAATAGTATATACAGTAAAACTAGAATTTATTTTCAATGTATTTTTATAGATATAAGTAAAATATAATAAAAAATGTGTGTTCATAATACAGTCACTCGCAATATAACGAATTTCAAAGGACCGCGGAAAAAATTCGGTATATCGAAAGAATAATTCAATAAAATTAATTTTAACAAGATTTAAAAAAATATTCAAAATTAATATTTTATTAGATTATATATTATTATAATTACATACATACATATTAAATATGAATTATTAAATTTTATTTTATTACATACATACATATTTATTTATTTTTTAAATCTGTTTTTTTTTTTTTTTTGGTGTATAGCCATATGCGCTTACTTGGTCAATTGTATTGTCTAATTTTAAAATGTGACCAAACGTTGTAAAGTCATTTATCTTATCGCATGATAATCGCCGAAACAAACACCGCAATAACAAGCTAGTAGTAACTAATAATAGTATCTTATACAATAACGACGTCATGCATTTTATCCTATCGTATGATAATTGTACATAGCCGAAACTCGTAAAATTCGTAATATCAAGCTCTAAAATTGTGAAAATTCGTTAGATAGCGAGAGCTTTGGTCAAAAAAACTTCGTTATATCGAGGGAATTAAAATACATGTAATGTTTCGTTATATCGTGAGATTTTCAAGGGACCGACCGTTTTATTCGTTATATCGAGATTTTTGTTGTAACGAGCTTCTTTATATCGCGAGTTGACTGTATAACGTTATATAAACCAAAATGTTTTGACTTGGTTCACAAGTAATTATTGTTTAATTTTTATCGACAATAATTGAATAAAAATTTTATAAAATGAAAAAATGATCATAGCTTTAAATAGTTTAAAAAAATTTAAAATAATTTATCATTTATAGGTAATATATGATTTTGGGTAAATCTATCACAGCCATTAAATCAAAACACAACCACAAAATTTTTCTGTCAGATATTTTAGAACTTTAGAACTTTTGTCAAGGCTGTTATAGAACTTTTACTTCTCAGTTTATGCACCAACAGTTCTGCAACTTTTACACGTTTTGAATTTTCGTTGAGAGATTAATTTTTCATTTTCGTTTTTAACTCTTTGCATATGGAACACGTATCTTAGCAGGTTTTCAAAAAGTTAATGAGAAGTAGTTTTTTAAAATAAGACCTGTAAAAACCATATTTTACTTTAGATGCTTATTCCGAAACATAACGTCATTTTTTTAACGTCAAGTTCCGACGACAAATATCTAATATTTCTAGACGCATAGTGTGTCTCGTGAACTGGAAAAGATTAAATATGCTCATATGTCGCATAGATCAAAGAATAAGTACTTGCATCAATAACATTTGCATGAACCGATTTTCTTCATTAGTTCATTGACAAAATACAATTCTCCAACAAATTAGCAATACGTTCCACCTTCTTTTTGTAATATTATATAATTTCAATTATACTTGTTTGCAAACTTTTTTTGCGCTAACTCTTAATCAGACAATGTTACTTAACTATATTTTTCTTAGGTTTTTTATCATCTTCAGCAGTATTCGATCTTGAGCGACGTCTATTAATTGGAAAATTTTCAGTTTTCACTCTTTGCAAATGTAAACTTTGTTATTTTAAAATTTGTAAAATAGCTGCCCAGTTTCTATGAAGATATATGGCTCGAATATTGCTAGACATTTATTCTTACAACTAAAATAAAAATGAAAAGGTTTTTTAGAAAAATATAAAAACATATAGATCATATTTTTTATGAAATTCGTCAAAATCGTGAAAATTGCCAGTTATTTCGTAATTAAAAATACATAAAATTTTAAATATCCACACCTAAGGTTTAAAAATTCAATACTCACAACATTCTACATAAGTTTTTATAAAATTAATTATAATTAAAAATCGAATGGTATTTTTATGGTAAATAAAAATATTAAAAACATAATAAGTTTAGCATAGTTAAGTCATAAATTCATGAGTCATGAGTATTATAATCATAGTGTCCATAAATAAAAAATTCGTAAGTTCTACTGTTACTGTGACAAGTCCATAAGTAGAACTCGTTGATTTTTTGGTTCTAAATTAGGACTTAAGAGACTTCACATCCAGAATATTATACAAAAATTAAAATTAGAATATGTTGTAACAAAGTAACAAACAATACTGTAAGCAAGTATAACGTGATAGCTAGTATTATTATTATTTATTACATAAAATCGGTAAAATTAATGGTTTTAAAAGAAAACATAATATTATAAACAATACAAATTTCTATTATCAATATGATAGATTTTAATTTTTTATTATTATACTTATAATCACTAAAAATGCTTAAGTGAATTTTATAGTTTTTAATTTCCATTATATATGCTATAGTAGTTTCTACTGGAGTATTCATAGCATTTTTCTGTCATCTATCTGATAATTTTTTTGAAAAAGCAACAATTGTGTGTGGATGAGCTAATTCCTACTTCATATTCAAATTGAAAACGTTATTTAAATGTAAATACTAAAAATTTAAGTATTTAAGCACTGCATTTTATGTAGGTATACAGTGAAAAATTATTATTTTTTACCTATTTTAAATATTAAAAAATATCTACATACTTTAAGTATTTATTAATTCTAAGCTTTAAGTTCTAGTCGTTAAAATTGAAAAAATTAAATTAGTAAATTATATTATATTTGCTTAATAGTAATATATTTAATATTATATTATAATATGTCGTTCAATATTCCAGTGCAACGTCAGAAAAATACACCAAGTCTACGTTCCGGAGATGTACGGTATGTATATGCTACGCAAGGAAGAAATTAAATTGGACGTTGGTCAATTTGTTCAGGAAAAATTGCTGTACCACGTGACCACTGAGTCCAGAGCCATAGAGTCGCTGAGCAGCGGACTCGACTGGAGACGCACCCGCCGCAACAAATTTGGTTGCGGTGTTTCGTTCAGTGACGACGCCGATTACGCTAATTATTATGCCGACAAATTCTCCAACGAAGGTATAATTATACTTATTTGTATTTAAAATAAATAATACGTATTCTCACTCACCAAACACAGCATACCTGTTCAAAAATTGTCCAACGTTTTCTAAACAAAATGGATTTATAGTGAGTTTCATTCAAAAGTGACATTTTTTGTAACCGTTCAAAATAACATAACTTTTTTATTATTATTTGGAGGAAATCAGCATCCAATAAACCAATTATTTTATCTCTCTAACTCATACGTAAAACCAAATATATGTTTCGCAAATTAAATTTTTGATTTCATGTTGTAGACTTTAAATTAGTAAATTAACTTAAAATCAAATATACAGGAAAGATTATTTATTTTATAGTACACTATCCGAATTATAATCTTTTATTTAAGCTCGAAACATTTCTCTACAATCTAGACTAGCATTTCCTATATACAGTTAAATTTTCAAAGTATTTAAATTAACTTTAAACTATTTAGTATATCATGAACGATAAAAATGATTTCCAAATTAAAATTTTCTGAAAAATATTCTTTTTCGAACATCCTACTAAAAATGTGCGCCGTTATTCAAAAAAGTAAAAAAAAAAAACGATAAAAATAAAAAATAAATTAAATGTCTTTAATCGCTCAAATTATGTAAAACGATAAAAATGTCAAAAAATGATAATACTTTTTAAAAAACTAAGTGATATTTGTCATTATCTTTAAATGAATCACCTTGTGCTTACTATTGTATTATAACAACTATTATCCATTTCAGATATGTTTATTGTTTACTGTTTAGGTACCAGTTAGTTTACCAAGCAACATTTGAGGTTTCTAGGTTAATTTTACAAGGAAACAAAATAATCTCATTATGATATAAATACATTTATTATTGCTTTAAAGTTTAATAATTACCGTGTACACAATTTGTATAAAATGTATTTTTTCATTTTTAAAATGCATAATAATTACGATAACAAAAGTAATTTATTGGCCATCCAAATAATCAAATTAATAAATACAATATAAATTATAATAAATAATATAATGCCCCCTCCCCGATCACTACTGACTGACATTGAAATCAACTTAACCCTGAAGTTGGCGTAGTAATTAAAAAAAAATTAACTTTTTTACATGTTACTTTCTAGTATTTTACTATAAACACAGTAAAAACCATTAAATTGAGAAAATATTACACATATTATACTAATATCATCATGGTAGTTAATAATGTGAGCATTTCTTTGATTTTTCTATTCTCGCGAATGGCTGTAGACACACGAGTAATCATGATATGTTCCGTGCTAGTAAAAGAAACGTATGTGGTTCCTAGACAATACCAAGGAAGGACCTTGGTTACACCACCCGTCAATTTCGACACGACAATGAGCTATAACGGCCGCGTGTTTGTAAAGTACAACGATAATGAATTTTATCCACTGTACTTTGTGTACTACCGGCAAAGACCTGAATACTGGACCAGGAGCAAATACCACCCTGCTAACAGTCGCCCAGTGACGGCAAGGTTGAATTTAAATGATTTGCTAGATGCTATGAATATCTATGACGACATATAGTGAGGCGGACCCTCCTACTTCTGAGACTTATACTAATACTTATATCAGCAATAATACATTAAATATTCGATGACGATTTCTGATTATTATACAAACAAAAAGGTTATAAAATAAATGATAACTTTTTTTTTTCAACTGAGGAAGGAGTAGTATCTATGATTATTTTGATTTTACATATTATTTAATATTTATATACATCGATTTTTTTTTCTTACGTCTTTCACTGCAAAGCCGCGTTCAGTTTACAATTTTATTTATGTTGCTTAAAATATTACATGTTTTTTCACGTAATCAATTCTCAATAATAATTATTCGGTAGTATTTTTACGTGTGATTGTCATTTTTAATGTCATTTGATTTTATACAAGTTTTATTATAATTATTTATGTTATTATGTTTACTTATTCATGCAAATAAATAGACGAGATATAATTTTTGTTTGATTTCTTTATACAGTTTGTATTTTTTTTTTAAATTTATACTACAATTAAAAATATTTTAATACAAATGGTAATCAAATGAACAAAATAAATGGAAACCAAAAAAATTTTGGATGTTTCGGTTTTGGTTTTTTTAACTAACGGTTTTGCTCACCGGTTTTAATAACCAAAATAAAAGTCTTCGGATTTGGTGAAGGTTTTTGAAACCGGTTTTCTACTACTAAAGTTTTGGATTTTTGTTAACCGCTTGTGTACAAATTTTTTATGTATATAAAAAAAAAAATTAAGCATTCTTAATATAACACCTTTTCATTTGGGTTCATACTTAATTAACAACTTAATCCTATTATTTACTAAACAATAAAGATTAGCAAAAATGATTTCGCTTGCCCATAATAATGTTTAAAGTTTAAAAAAATTTATATAATAATTGTATAACAGAACAATTTACGAATAATAACTATGGACTGATCATTAACGCAGTTCAAATTCAAATCACGAAAATACGGAATCTCAGTTAATTATAATACCTCACGGCTTACATTAGTAAACTCGATATTTTTATCAGTTGTAAGCAATAAACCGCAATGATAATAGTAACATTTAATTATTTAAGACATTTAAGTTATAAATAGCTATAATTTACACTACCCATCGAAAACATGATATTGAAATAAAATGCCACGGTCGATACGTAGCCCACAAAATGTCGTGTGCATCTTTATGGGCCATGGGGGTATTACTTCATCGGTTATAGGCCTACTGTTTTGATTTTTATACGTAGTTATTATTGGTATATTTGGATTTAGTGGGTATAAATTATTTTTCCTCGAATAGTCGAATGACGACGACGGCAACGTCCAACAAATAGCGGTCCAAATTCCAATAATATTATAATAATTATTATTCATGTTGTCAGTAATGTTGGCTGACAAAAATAATATCAGTTGATTTTAATAATGTATAGACTGTATAATATTATCTTGGATGTGTAATATATAATAATAAGTGAGTGTTTATGTTCGCAGACCATGGTACATTCTATATTCACATTGTACACGGCGTTTCTCACATATTTATTTAAATACTCGTTTGTTGACAACACAATTATTATTACCAGGCACGTTAAATTTAATAATCAATTGATAAAGATAACGAATAAAGACGAAGGACGCATATATTTTGTTTGTTTAAGTAATGTTCTTTAGAACTCGAGATATAATAATACATAATGTATAAGTGAATTCATACCTAAAATCTAGTCATTTTATTTGTTAGTTTTTTTTTTTATGAAAAAAACATATTATTATCTATTATTTATGTATGATTATACCTAATAGTAATGCGATAACCGTGCCTTTGACGTATAGGAGTACGAATCTTCTACACGATGGCGGGGAATTTATTGAGTCTACTGTCGTTATCTCTGTAACAAGTAGTTCTTATAATGATCGACTCACAATTCACAAATCGCAATAAATATTTACTATTATCTGTTGGTCACAGTAAATTTGCCTCTTATGTTTAGAGTTCGGTATTTTCGTCGACAATACCACATAAGTATCATAATAATTTTAAATAATTTAATAAGTGGTAATAGTATTAACAATATTATAATTATATAATACATTAAGAATTTGCGTATGAAGATTTGAGATCTCAAGTCTTGATGTATTTATAGTTATTAGTTGGTGACTCTCTGCGTTGGCTGCAGTGTAATGACGACGTCAGCGATAACAATAATATAATTGTTATTACAGTAATAAACATTTTAAATAACGTAGATATAATACAAGAGTTAACCCGAATTTAGATTTACAGATCACATTCTACAAATATCACTCGACTAGATCGTCCATCTGCATTCGGTGAGCAAACGATTTAACAACTTTAATAGATAATTCATAAATTACCATCAATAATATACGACGTGTACCATCCAGTAGATTCGTGACTCGACATCTTACATGTATTTTAATTTAATTTCAGCGTACAATTTTCTAATCTTCAAATACACCTTGTAGTGCATATACGGTATACACGTCGCAGATAAGAATGTAATTACTTACCTCGTCAGTCGTCGCGCAGTGGTAGACCGATTTCCACCCAAAACCTCATAGTAGTTTTTGAAAACCAATCGCACCCGCCCGACACGCAGCAATTTTTTTTTATTCCTAATCCAGGTACGTTTTAATTTCTTTCTGATTACACAGATAAATACTCAATGATGTAGTCGTAATTTTTTTAGTGAGTATACGCTTAAATGTGATTGAAATATAAACGTGGGAGGCTTTGCCCCCCACACCCCCCATATAAATAACATTTAGCCATGCGCTGTGCAATAGGTAATAATAATAACTAATTACAATCTTGTAATATACTATATATTATATAGGCCATAGAGTGATAAACATGAACTATAATATTTATATTTTTGTTAATAACTGTGTTTTCTTTTTATTTATTCCGACCCACTAGAGAAGTAAACTATTTTGCGCATGTACTGTGGTAGTGTATTTTTCCACTATGTGATATAGTCAGTGGTGTACTACGATGTTACCGGTATATCAAATAGGTGGGGAATGGGGACGCATAAAATCGGACACGTTTTGGTCTGGAGACGATTAATTCTTCTCGAGAGGACAGAGTGTAGAAATTTTCTATTCTCAAAAAGCATGCTTTTCAATATTATTGTTTCATCCGTAGCGGTTCTAGACGACGAAGACAATGTACCGGGACAGGAACAGGTCTAACTTCGGGTCGTCGAGACTTACCGCTCACGCTACTCAACAATTACAACGGCGGCATAATAAGTCGACATCCAGGAGTTATGAGACCGGCGGTCAGCTGTTGAATGATTTGAGTCACGAAGAATACAAACGCCTCAAATGCCAAGTCTACGACACATTTCCTATGGTAGATACTGAACTGACCGATGGACGTAATAATTTTATATTCTAGTTGACTGTTGTATCTTGAAATTTTATAAGTTTTCCGTAATTTATTAAACATTATATTTTAAGTTATAAGACCTATAAATATATATCTATGTTATCCATGTAGGTACAATAAAAATTTATACATAATATAAAATGGTAAATCGGTTCATTCGCTTCACAATAATATTGACTTATTATTAAATATAAATACCTGTAAACCGTAATATATCTATGGTATATAATATTTTAATTATTAATTACGTATTAATAATTTTATTATACTCGAAAACACCGAAGGTGATGTTTTGGCTTACAATAAGCTTATGTAAAAAGTGTACACACAGACACACTTTAGTGTTAAGTCTATAAAAACAAATTCAAAATTATCAATGCTTATAGAATACTGAGATAAAAAAAAAATCAAATCTGTCAAACTTAAACTCTAGATCTTCCCTGCATCTTCTCGAGTACCTAAAAAGTAAATTAAAAAATTATCCTCAAAAAACCACGTTTTTTTTTAAATACACTATTAACACTAAAAGTAAACTAGTTGTTTAGCAATTTTTATATAATTATGAAAACATTAAATATTTCAAGTTTAGAGGACATTGATTTATTCTGACAACTTAATTATATGCTTCTCAACTTATTTGTGCAGATAATTGACAATTATATCAGTTGACATTTTCTGGGTGAAATATGATAGAGCACGGTATTATTGGAACAAATTTTATAAATTATAGCATTATTATTAAGATTGAGCACGTTCTTATTTTTATTAATTATTCAATGCTGTCAAATCAAATATTTGAAATAAGTTTATAACATAAAAGATAATATGTTATATTAGTAAATAAGTTACTGTCTGTGTTATCCATATTCTGTGTCAGAAATTATTTTGGTTTTTCTATATTTTATTTATATAATTTACTTTAAACTCACGGCTCACATACAAGGCCGTATCCAGAAATTTTCCGGAGGGGTCTAAAACCTATATAATGTATATTGTATATTTATTGAATTTAGGTTTTGAAATATGGTTAAAAATAAAATATATGAATTAAGACAATGTTAAATTATTATTATAGTTATATCATTGATTAATGATTATACACATAATATAGGTATGAAATAATATAACGTACTCATTAAGAAATTAGTAAAACAATTCGACGTGTTTGTCACTGTCTGGTTGACGATGGTATATAATTATAATATTTTTAATTAAAAAAATATAATATTGTTGTTATTAATCATCGTTGATTGTCGAAACGTTGACCGGCATCGATAGCTGTTGTTGTCGATCAATAAAAATCTATTATTAGACGCTAAAATAATATTTTCATACGATATGAATCAGTCAATCAATTAATACATTTTTATTTTGGCTATGGATGTTGGTATTAAAAATAAATAGTTATTTTACTAATTTTTAGACTATTTAAAAAATTTCACGGGGGGATCCGGACTCTTTAAGGCTTAGACTCTTCTCAGTTACGGCCTTGTGCACGTAGGCACCGCGAGGAGGGTGCAAGGAAGTGTACTTGTATACCTAATAGTTTATCGTAATAAAATTACAATAATAAATATATAAACATGATGTATTTATGTATCATAATTTAACTCGATCAATAAAGACGAATAAAGACTGTGTGCAGATGAATAAGAGTCTAATTATAAGTTATAACATATACAAAAAAATACATTATTTATAAATCATAAATATAAATGTATAATATATTAATATATACCTACATTTATGTTTTAAACACATTAACATTGTGTTTATAATGAATCATTATTCATTATCTAAAATATTATATTATATTATTATAGCTATATTAAAATTAACCAAAGTCAATTAGTTAGATAATAATATTCAATAAATTTAGCATTAAAATATAATTTATTAATATGTAACATTATACATTATATTATTATGTTGTATAATATTTTAGTGCAACATCAATCTGATACACCGAGTTAACGCTCCGCAAATGTACGGCATGTACTTATTGCGTAAAGAAGAAATGAAGTTGACTTCCGGAAACTTAGTCCAGGAAATTATTCTATATCACGTGACTTCTAAAACTAGGGCAATAAAATCGTTGAAAAGTGGACTTGACTGGCGGTGCACCCGGCGTTCCAAGTTTGGTTGCGGTGTGTCATTCAGCGATGACGCTGATTACGCCAACTACTATGCCGACAAATTCTCTGGAGAAGGTGAGATTAGGTTAGGTTAATTAAAATGTTTGTTTGTTGATAAAATTCTTCATCTTCACCTTTCCCTTACCAATAAATTAAATATAAATCAAATATTAAAAAAAAAAAAACACTCAATTTCTTAAAAAGAATTAACATTTTAGGATATTTTTACTTCCAACCCCGTAAAATGTAAACGATCGATTCCACTACTCCACTTATCTAAGCATTAAATACTTATACTTAATAAATTGACTAATAATATTTGTATTATTTAAATTTTTGAAAATTTTCATACTTTAGGATATGAAATTTGAAAAATTCAAAAACTCAGAAATAATATATCATGACAATGTATATTTGTATTTGTATTTGAGCAAATAAGTGTTTACCCTTTAAAATAATCACTTATACACATCTATAGATTAGGTTATATATCAGTAGCGAAGCCAGAAATTTTCTTTGATGAGAGGGGACTAATCAATTTTTACACATCGGTAGCTTACCTAGGCTTTTTTATAAGTGAAGTAATAAAGCAACATTTTATGTAATATAGATTAAAATAATTATTTAATATTTCAGGGGCTCCCTCAGCCTCCTGGCTATGCCACTGTTTTATATATACTTTGTATTTATGGCTACCTTTTAATCAGAGATTTAATATACAATACATTTTCTTTATCTATTCTCGGGACCGGTTGACGTAGCCAGTCGAGTAATCATTGTGTGTACCGTACTGGTGAGTAAATCGCATCCTGTGTCCGGGAAACGCAACGAAGAGGATTTGATCGTACCACCCGGCACTGCTGATACGACGATGAGCACAAACCGACGCGTGTATGTCAAGTACAACGACTATGATTTCTACCCGCTGTACCTTATGTACTACCAGTGGACACAAGAACTCATAAACGAAAGTAAATATTTACCCAACAACTCCCATAATAGAAGGAGACAAAACCACTGGGTGATGCAGAAGGAAGAGCAAGATCGGGCACAACGTCAGCAAGAACTGCAGGAGCAGCATTATTTAGAGCAGCAAGAACAGGCACGTCGCCGTCAACTACAGCTGGAGCAGGCACGTCGCCGTCAACTACAGCTGGAGCAGGAACGCCAGCGTCAACTACAGCTGGAGCAGGCACGTCGCCGTCAACTACAGCTGGAGCAGGAACGTCATCAACAAGATCAGACACGGAATCACGAAAGCAAAAACAGCTGTCTAATCCTCTGATGATCATGTCATATTATTTTACTTTTTAATTGTGACTGCATAGATAACCTATAGTCTATATTATCCGCTTAATAATTATACACTTTTTTTATTTTTTTTAATCCCGCTCATAATTTCATATTTCATACGGGCCGTCATAACGACATAACTATACTAACTATACGTTTTACCCCGTCAACGATTTCTGCCAATAACCATATGTTAAAGGTGGTGTATTATTACGCGCGATTAATATTTTGACAAGGAAATTAAAATAAACATAGTCCAAAGTTCTCAATCATCTCATTTTACTTACACACGTACACATAAGGATTTTTCATTCCGTTCTTATACCAGCTAATTACTTATTTATAAATAAATGGACGAAATAGTTTTTGTTTAGTTTATTTTTTTTATAATTTATTGTTAAAACTTTAAAGATGCTAGAATGCAACCGACGATCAGTATTAAAAATTAAGAAACAATTTTAAAGCATACACAATTTGCTAAGAATTATTTTTCGAATTAAACGATTTCATTTAAACTTACCTAAGATTATGTTACTATATCCATTATTCGTTATTTAGGCTGTGACACGTTAATAAATTACTATCTAGTACCTACCTAGCTAAATTATGGTTAAAAGTCGTTTGCGCACATTTATCTTTTTTACAACTTCTCACTTTAATAGGCTTAGGACTGTCTGTTTTAAATAGGCGTGATTAAAAATGTGTGCTTGAATGTGTGTGTGTGTATATTTTAATGAAGTATATTGTTACATAAATTGTTATTCGTCATAATATCATTACAGTATAGTCATATAAAAATAAACTATATTTAATATGTAGTGTCATCGTAATTATTATTATTATCTACACAATTGATTATAATATTATAATTTATATTGCTATCAAATATTTAATAATATGTATTGTGTACTGTGACGATTTATTAACGGTACCAATGTGAATACGTCGTTGTGCGCAAGCGATTTGTCGATTTTCAGGTATAAAATGTTGAATGTGTGCAATTGTGCAAACGAGTTGCAGCGCTGAATTACCCGTCGTTGCAGGGTTTAAAGAATTTTAATTTTTAATTTTTTAAGAATAAAAATGTATGTAATCTGGCAAAATTAAGTATTGTTTACTCTATTTAAATAAAATTGAATTAAGATTGTTGAAATAATATTTTATACATGTTAATTAGTTATTAAGTAAATTGTATTATTATTATAAATTCATAACCTATTCTATTAGTTAATAGTTATGGCTTTTGGCCGTTGCTTTGTTTGCGATTTATTTTAGTAGTGCAGGTTTAAAATAAATGTTTTACTAATATAGTTATTTAAAATATAATCTTCAAAACTTCTTTTGTTGACAATATTTTTCGCTGGTCTATTAGTAAGAGCCAAAATCACGAAACTAGGTACTGAGTGAGCTCACACGTTAACCTATAGCTACGTAGAACTGCCCATATGAAAAACAGTTTTCTTGTAAGTCTATTACCGCAAATTTGAGAGTTTGGGTTTGAGACTTGTTGTGTAATAAAATATTGACTATGTTTTAAATGAACAGCAATCTGAAGAAAATAATTGACATCAATTTTTAGACAATTTAAACTTTGATTGGAGTTAATTTTCAAATGTGATGACTTATTATTAAACACACTTGGTATTGTTACAAAGTATCTTAGGTAAATTACTTTTTTCATTTATTTATTACCTAATTTACCAGTTAAATGAAATTGTAGGTTTTTAAACATAAGTTGAATACCTTATAATCCACTTTACTTTAGTCCATCCATTAGTTATCAACGCATTATTATTATGTGGTATAACTATTTATCTATTTAAAATTTGTCTCTGGTATGAAATGTCAGTGACATTAATACTAAATGGGGAATATGAGAACATTTTTTAATGTTAGTAATAATGGTCAAGATATTTAGTTATACCTTATATTAATTACAATTTAATAAATATTGAAATAAAATATTTCATACAATTTTACTTTACTGATGACCTGGTAGAAATACATGGAGCAAGAGATTCATTTGGCACACTACTATAGTACTATGCAGCAGGTCAAAAGATTATTATAAATGTTAATTTATTAAAAATAGTTAATACCTCATTAGTGGGACTTAGTGATAATACAGAATAAATGTGAGACGACATACAAACTAGGTTATATATGTGTAATATAATAATAAAATATAAATGCTGCAATGGTTTGAACACCGTTACATTGCTATACAATATACATATAAATACTTTAAATAATAAAGTTGAATAAGTAAATAATTTTATAACAGTTCTATTCTAAATAAGTTCATTTTAGTCAATATTAATATCAAAATATGAGTATTCAATATAATTATGAAATCATACTAACCAATATTAAAAAAAAAAAAAAAAATGATAGGTAGTAAAAAATAAATTGTTAGCTTAGTACAGAAGGCATAGTACTACTGGATATATATATTAATATATATTTAATAAATAAATACATGGATATTTATTTTGAATTACAATAAACTTTTTTCTAGAAGCACACATGAAAATACACAATACTCTAACAGATACGTTGCACATTCTGCTGACATATGCTCATTTGTTTCTACTAATGAATTATAATAATACGAACAACAGCTTTTTATTTATTTTATAAAATTCGAGAATATTTGTGAGCATTGATAAATACAAACATGGGGTTCTTCCTCAGACAACAATGCCTCATGATCATTCTAGAATCATAGCAAAATATTACCAAATTCTTTATTTAGTTTATTGTTTTTTACTTACTTGTTCATAAGATTTTACTCAAGCTTTTTAAGACTCCAATATTCAAATAATAAAATAATTACATTGTAAAAGGAATACATTTTTTGTATACCTCGGGGCTTAAGTTAATGTTGAATTAATCAATTATATGATAACTTCAAATTTGAGTGTTAAGAAATTAAATGCTAAAGAAAAACATAGTCAGTAAAATATAGTTTTAAAAGTCAAAACTTTTCACATTTATTGTCAAACAACATATTTTAAATAAAAATATCATATCACATTTAAATTTATTTGTAATAAACCTATAAAAAAATAAATCAATAAATAATAATATTAAACTTTGAATACTGTCATGTAAAAAGTAGAACTAATCAATAATTATTTAATAATGTAATTAACAATAATATAAATACATAACAGATATTGCTATAAAAGAGATTCATATATAAAATATTATTTTGGATATGTATGATTAACACATGTGATAGATTATATTAGATTAAATTATTTTGTTACACTAATTACAAAATTATAATTATATAATTTGAAGTTTCAGCCAATGAGTTACACTGAATACTGACTAACAGGTAAAAATATCAACAAAGTTTTAAATAGCAGTTATAAGTCATGGTTACAGAATTAGAAAAACAAAATCCGAGGTTCTGCAATTAATAAATCAATTTACAAAAACTAGTTCAAGCAATGGTGAATACTCAATATAAAAATGTCTATTTAAAATAAGTGTTACCTAATATATTCAAAATATATATTAATATAACATATAGTTTTATATAATTTAAAAATAAAGGTATTAATATACATTACTTTTAATACGAGCGTATGAATATAAATACACTACTATTTAATCATCTATTTAAATATAAAATCTATGCGATACCCATCAGTATTATAATAATTGGTTAAGCAAGAACAAATGAGATGTAAGAGATACTTATTTAATGTATCAAAACTTAATATCAAGTTCAATTATATGAGTATAATTTATTAACAAATAGTATTGCAGGAAAAAATGTCAAATTCTCTATTAGTGATATCGATTATTATATTTTATGATTTATATTCATCTTATTATTATTGTGATAAATAATTTGTACAAATTAACATTTACAGAAATATTTTTAATAGTTGAGATTTATGTCGTTAGTGTAACAATTAGTAACTATATAATACAATTATACTTTAATATAAATGAGCAATAACAACAAAACATCAACATTTTTAAACCAAAGAATTTTGGGTACTTTTTACTTGGTTGTGAACAAGTAAGGAGTTAAAAGATTGTTTTCCAATGGACATACGGATAGCTGTAATTGATTTTAATAAGACATTTGATGTAAAACTTTCTGGTAACTTGGTTAAATATTGAGCGCACGTTATAGAATCCATTTGCATTAATTGAGACTCATTACTGCGTAAAATACCTATTTATATTTTTTAAAAATTAACAATATAAATAAATCTGGTTTTATTTCTTAGATTAAATTTTTATATTTTTCAGTTTCCTTATTGATAAAATGGTCTACAATAATATATTTGTAGCAATTGGTTAAATATATATTTTTTTTAATTTCTATTATATAAACTTACCAAGTGCAGCTCGAAATAAAAATTCATCATTATCTCTTAAAAAGTTGTCCCAAATAATAGATGCCAATTCTAGATTCATTGATTTAGCAAAAACTGAATATATCCAATCAACCAGATACATTTCAGAAGTAAGACCGATGAGATTAAAATGTGTATTGAGTTTATTTAAATTATGTTTAAGTAGATCATTATATGTAGTAAAATAAGAAGTCATCTAAAATAATAACAATCATATTAATGTTCATATTTCAAATAAATAAGTTATATATTTAAAATCATACTAACCAAACGTTGGTTTACAGTGTAAAATGCATTCAAACATGGAGATTCCATTAAATTAACGAGACAAATAAATGCTTTAGTTTCTTCCATATTCAAAAGTAAGATGGCAGCTATAAAACACATACCTTGAATGTAACCAATATCAGGACGGAGACAAACATAGGCACTAAGGATCCTTTTCAATACGTCAAAGTATGGTCCACCCTAAAAATAAAATTAAAAAATGACTCAAAAATTAAAACATTTATTAGCAAATTGCCATGGTAAAAACAGAATTTGCATAATGTGTTAAATCCAAATGTAAAATGTTGCAACTTATGAAGTAGACAATTATAGTTTATAATAATCAACCTAAAATAATATTCCAAGTAAAATATTAAAACCATAGTTTAAAAAAAATATGACAGATTGTATACAATAAGCTGAAATAACAGGTTTTATTAATTGAATAATCATACACTTTTGAACATTTAAAGATACTGAATTATATAACCAATTAACTAATATATACCATATTTTTCACTTATAGAATAATTATTTATTAATTATAATATCAGGAAGGGTGCACCTAGGCAATTTTCAACACATGGTATAAAATATTAAACAGAATTATATATTAAATTAAATTTATAGTAATCATACTATATGTGCATAAAAATAAAATTTTTAATTCAAAATCTTTATGCATACAAATTATATACATTGATATTTGGTGGGAATTTTAGTTCGCATAGTTTATTTCATAACTTTTGTCATTCAGGAAAATAAATCAAAAAATGAAACCATGGTCTATTTTAATAGCGTCTGAGGACATTTGTGATAGTTTTTAAATATCTATTCAAATGCATGAATATTTTATGTCTTTATTCTATTGTTGATGTTCAAGACAATTCTAGCTACATGATTACATAATAGTAAAAATTATTACACAATTGCATATCTAAATACTTGTAATTTTAAAATAGTTATAGTATTACTTATCTTAAAATTGTAAACGTATTCTGATGAAAATAT